TTAGGACAACTTTGAAACTCAACGCCAGAATGCACGCGCTAAAAGGAAAGTGAATGAGACGCGATGTGTCTTTCATGTCAGCTAATGTTAGCCTCCTGACATACATTTAACCACATGCCACACGTGGGGTTATTTTCAGCGCTGAAATGTTGTCGATCACGTGACTAACAGCATCTGTGACTTTGTCATTCCAGGCCGTGGCTGTGCTCACCGCGACGTACCCTGTGGGTCACATGCCCTACGGTTGGCTAACTGAACTCCGAGCAGTCTACCCGGCCTTTGACAAAGTAAACCTAAACCTGCAAGAAGTTTTTTTTCTTTTTTTTGCAGCTGTATGTTTTTTTCTTCTCTAAGATTTTCTCCTTTTTCACCAACAGAACAACCCCAGCAACAAGCTGAACATCGACAGCCCGGTCAACAAGTCCCACATTAAAAAGTTTACATCCTGCTGTTTGGCTCTGTCGCTCACAGTAAGAGGAATCCTTCACTTTTTTTTTATCAACACCTGAAATAAGACTGCGCAGGCACAGAGGCACTAAGGCAGCAAAACATTCAGTGAAAAAAAATCTTTGTTGTTTGCTTGCCAACAGCAAACATCTAAGAACAGGGAGATTAATATTTAATGGAGATGTTTTCTTTGAAACTCTTTTACTTGAAACATATCACATTGAATACTCCCTGGTGTATTTTTTCACTCAGAAAGACTAGGATTCTACCTGTTTACCAACAGCAAAATCTCCAACCAGTTCTTCTTTAATTACTGTTTATACACCACGCCCTGATATATCTAAAGATGTCAGCTAGTGGCTTGTTAGGAAACAAAAATGAAAAGCTTTTTTAGGTCAAACATACCTCAGAATAGTCAAAGACCCCGATGACCCCTGATTAAGGGATAAACTAAAAGGGATTCCTTTAATGTCGTTGTAGATTATTTGTTAACCCTCACATGTCTAGACACTTTGTTACTTATTTCTAAAAAGGTGAACATTAATATTTAGAAAAGGATAACTGATTAACAGAGATCAGTTTTGTCTTTGCCAGATTTGACTTCATCATTTTGGTAATTCAATAATTTGGTCCTGTCTTTCCTGACCTGCCGTGACAGCTCATTCTCAGCTTCAGACCCATTCACTAAAACATGCAGCCAGCATTATGTTTCAGGATTGATTTTCATAACAGGCCGTGGCCCCCGGGGGCAGTGTTTGTTTACAGCCCTGGTCGTCTTTATTTCAGTCCTGACACTTGCTCCACTGTAAATGTCACTTGTTGTTCTGTGGTTCGCTGCCACACCTTGGTTCCTAATTAGTTAAGTGCAGGTACTCTCTGTGAAACTGTGATAAACTTTGTGATACTTCTGGGATGTCGTACTTCGTCGTGAATACTAGCTGAATACTAGTGGCTGTCGCCCACGTCAGACTCGCTCTGTTTTTGCAGGAGAGTCTTGACCTGCTCTGGTTGTAAAGTTCCTTTTGAAGTGTTGTCAGTTTACGGCCTGGTGGTTCAAGTCTGTTGACTGCACTGGTCTGTTCCACTGGTCTGTTCCACTGGTCTGTTCCACTGGTCCGTTCCACTGGTCTGTTCCACTGGTCTGTTCCACTGGTCCACTAGTAGTTTCATGTTATGAGGCACATAACATGAAACACACTGGAGCGGAATGTGTTCAGTTGTTCCTTTCAACCCACTCCCACCCAGGCTTGAGTACTTTACCAAAATAGGTCTTCACGTAACAGTATCAGTTAACAAACCTGAAGCCCCCCCTACAGGTGTAGCTCTCCTTGTAATCAGCGGTGCAGTCACATGTGCCCTGTTTCCATGTGTTTATGTTTTCCCACAACATTTTTGGATGATGATGTCAGTGGATCTGCAGCGACACGCCATTTGCTTGTTTTTTTGTTGTTTTTTTTGACTGGATGCAGTGACTGTGAAGTTCTGCATGATTCAAAGTCAACGTATGGAAAGATGACGGGAGCCTTTGACCCAGTTTGTTGTCCTGAGGAGCTCAGACAGGAAAAACAGGAAGTGTGCTGCCAAGGTTGTGACTTTTTTAGGGCATGGATGAGGAAGAGGAGGAGGAGGGGGAGGAGGGTGGCACAGCAGATGCAAAACCCCAGTGCTGTAAACACACACGTGAGGGTGTGTGTTCAGCATAAAAAAAGGAAAAACACATGGGTATGTGCTGGAGCCATGTTGGAAAACCTGAGCCGACTGCCCTCATGCCTGGGCCTGCTCTGATTTCAGGTGAAGGACAATGGATCGTGGTAAAAAAACAAAAAACAAGGTGTGTTTGAGGAGGGAAACAAGTCGTTTTCCGTGAGCGGTCGGTTCGTCTTGTGAAAACAGACTTTTGCTCAGGCAGTCGGTGCTGATGTGTCACCGTGTTTGGAGGAACCGAAGCTGAGTCATGAGATACGGCGGCTTCTGTTGAGACGTACAAATTATTTATCTGCTGCCATGTCACTACAAGTAATAACAGAGGGGGGAGATGAAATCACCAGGTAGAAGTGGAGGACTGCAGGATTCTGATTTGAGGGATGTGGAACGCAACCACATTAAAGACCTGGCACAACCGCGGTCCTCCGCTAACTGTGGGTCTTTACGAAGAATGAGACGTCACATTGTCTTTGAAGGAACTTGACTCGATGTCAGACGACACCTCCAAACAACAGTTACTGAAGTTAAAGAGTTGGCCTTGAAAATGGATGGTGGTGTCAGTGGGTTTTGGGTGGGACCGGTCAACAGAAGGTCAACAGGAGTTCAACCTGCTCTACACAGGAAAATGTTGCAAGTGTTAGTAAGAAAAACATCAGAGAGTTTCAGTTGAAATTTATGTTGCGAGAGTCTGTTTACATTCTTCAGTCTCTTGACTCCCGCCCTCATTTGTTCCTACAGTTTACATGACAAAATCAGAGCTGATTGTAACCTAGGTCAAGTTCTGAAATTAGGTAACACTTAACGTGGCCTTAGCCAATCAGATTGCTTCTTCTATCACCATGGTGGTTGGTTTGAGTAAACAGTCCAATCAGGCAGCGTTAGCTTGTCTGTTAGCGTACAGACCGTCGACAACAAACCCTTCAAAAGTACAGAACCCAGCAGCGTGACTAAGTGACAGATGCATCAGCTCAGTGATTATTGTTTTGCCATCAATCACCAAGATGAGCTTCGTTAGAGTTGGCCTGAGTTTAAATATGTTGGCAGCGTAAACAAGGGGGGGTGAGGAGGGGCCACAACCCTATCTTGACTACGTTGTTAACGACGAGGTGTGGTGAAAAAATACAAAAGGATTATCATGATATCAGAAACAAAAAGTGAAAACTGAACACCAGATGTTATCTACAGCTAGTTTGGCACGTGAGCATCACCCATGGTGATAACACTGTACTGTACTAGTTTCACCATAAAAACGCCTTCTTTTTTACAAAGAACTGTATTCACGTGCGTCGACACATCTTTGTAATTATAATAATAATAAAATACAAATACAATATGTTATTTATGTTCTTCACCAGGTTGCTGCGGAGACCTGAGGCTACACCGAGCGCGTCTTCAGTTGGAAAGAATTGGAGATAACAGCTATCAGAACAGCCAGCAGCAAACAGTATTCAGTCTGAAACAGAGGCCGTCTGATTGGGTCCTGAGTCTCTCTGATGTTTGAGCCAGATTTAGACAGAGGAGGGAGTTCGGGGGGCAGGGAGGGGGAGTGTCATCATTGTCAAAGTGTAAATAATCCTATTCAGATCAGACATGTTTATACACCTGGTTATCACTGCCTCAGGTTCTGAGTGGACACTGTTAGGATGGAGATGCTTCTAGAAATAAAAACATTGTCCAACACGTTTCATGTGAGCTTCAAAGGCCTCCATTCAGTCCAAAACCTCTTGATTTAATGAAGCGACGAAGTCTAATGAGCCAGGCAGCATGGTTTTATTGTGGTGTGGAGAAAAAAATTAATTTGTTTTTCCCCCTGGTTTTGTGCGCAGCTTTGTTTCGTGGTCTTTTGGAGTCCACACGTGTCGGAGAAGATCATGGTCGACATCATCGGAGTAGAATATGCGTTTGCTGAGCTGTGTATGGTCCCTCTGAGGATTTTCTCCTTTTTTCCTCTGCCAGGTGAGCCCACCGGTGTCTTCATTCACACCAACACCAGGTTAACAACCAACGGTTTCAACAGGAAGTTTCTGGTTCCTGTTTACAAATGATTCGGGAGCGTTTTAGATTTATCACAGGCAAAGTCGATCGACCAAGTCTTCAGTCATTAGAACCTTAGAACTCTAGAGTACTATGATAGTTCTAGCTCTTTCAGATTGAATTTTTATTTGACAAAATATAAGTTATATATATATATATAAATGTAATTTTATACAGTAGCAGTTATATGTGCCGTATAATCAAAATACAGTGCCCCAAAGATGCACTTTACCCTTTTGTTACAATAAATATAACTTATAACATAAAATTTTACTGCCTTTGAATGCAGTATTGCACTGACAGTTCAATTAAAAGCGATTGTAAACAAGTTTTTACAAGGTATCTAAAGTAACAGATTGAAAAAGGAGGAGGAGTGTCACCGTCACAGTCACGGAGTAGGCCTTCGGTTTATTTAACATTTGGTTTATTTGTTTGTTGACTATTCTTTTTTTATGTTTAGCCTTTTAAAGCATTTCCTATTGTTTTGGCTAATATCAAGTTATTTCGTGCTAACTGATATGGATAATGTATTATGGCTATTCCTGGGTTTCCTGTATGGGTTACTTGTGTTGTAAGCGACATCTGGTGGTAATTTGATGTAACTAGCACCGTTAGGCAAAGATAACCTGTTAGAATTCAGGTTTTTTTAAACGCTAACTCTATACGAAACATTTATTATTTTAAGCAAATTTTCACCCACGGTCACTCATTCCTGACCCTGCGTTAGGCCGTATTTTCCCGTCTTTGCTGGCACGCTGTGAAGTTTCTACTGTGTTTGTGTTGGCAGTGACCGTCCGGGCTCATTTGACTGGGTGGCTCATGACCCTGAAAAAGACCTTTGTCCTGGCCCCGAGCTCTGTTCTTCGCATCATTGTCCTCATCACCAGTTTAGTTGTGCTGCCTTACATGGGGTGAGTCAACAGTGAAGGGGGTCACAATAGTCCGCGCCGTGACTCAGGTGCGCTGCCATTTAATACCATTGTGTTCTCGCTCTGCTAAAAATGATGACCTACGATACGTTTGTTTCCCCAGGGTCCACGGGGCCACGCTGGGGGTGGGATCCCTCCTGGCTGGTTTCATAGGAGAGTCAACAATGGTCGCCATTGCGGCGTGTTATGTTTATCGTCAGCAGGTGAGAACGCAGCAACATTGACATTGTTCGATAATGGGGTTCCTCCCAGTGATTCAACTTATTCTGAACTCGGTTACTCGAATATGAGGAAAATGACAAACAATTCATTTATTTACGTCAATTATATCCAAAAAATTTTTTTTTAACTTACCGTAAAACATTCCAGTAGATTTCCCTGATGATGACGTTTTCTTCACAGGATTCATCTTTGCTGCTGGCGAATGAAAAATAATAATTTTAGTGACCAAAGCTGAAGCAAGTGTGTGTGTGAAAGCAAAATATTATATTATTATATAAATATTTTTTACTTACATGCAAACCAGTGAGAACTTAATTAGAGTTAATTTCGTCGATTTATTTATCGGTCTATTATGCTAATAACGATGCTAATAATTGAATACAGCGCTACCGCAGCGTTAGCAACTAAACGGGAAGTTAGGAGGCGTTAAATGGCGATAATAATATGTACCGGGGTATTTGTCAAGCGAAAAATTAAAAAAAATCCGACACGAAGTCAAAACATCATTTTCGCCAAAGAAATTGTGATTGGGAAAGGAAATTGAATTGACAACTGTCAAAACTCTTTTGATTGAACGGAAATCAGGATACGTCAGCGGACATTTTATCTTTTACGAAATGTGTTTCCGCTAGCATGTGACGTAGCACGACCAAAACACTTCCGGTAGGAAACAAAACCAGATATTATATATATATATATATAAATATATATGTCGTTGGCTCCTTTATTAATCAAAATTGCTACTTTTTTTTGGATACTGCTCTGAATTATGGTAGTTGTATTTGTTTGTGTAGTGTCAGTTGGACCACATTTTCAGATCACAGATGTTGGATTATTGACTGTTTATACTAAAACTTAGACAGGAAGCTCTAATCCCCGTCTCTCTTTAGAGAAACAACGAGATGTCCAGCGAGCTGGTGGTGGAGGGCGAGGATTCTGCCCCCATGAGCGAGGTCTGCTCCAGGTCTCAAATGGACGCCATCGAGGAGCTCCAAGAGGAAGAGGAAGAGGAGCAGGATTGATTCGTCGTACGACAAAGGAAGATGAAGGCGAGTTCCATGTGGATCGCTGCTCAGAGGAAGGCTGCAGAGGGTGACGGTGCTAGAGATCTAAGAGGACCTGTAGAGGCCCTGATCGGGACGGAATTCAACCCTTGGTCTGAGTGACCGGGACCTCTTCATGTAGACGTGCACACCATGAAAACGCACAGTGTTAAGAAAGCCATGCACTTCAAAGTGTTCGTCCATCGCCGTAAATCCCCGTGTCTTCCGACCTTTCCGTCACGTCTCCATCACATAGTTCTGCATCATTGTGTTAGCTGGTGTGTGTGTGTGTGTGTGAAACCACTCTCCATGTGTTCACTGGTTACGAAGGAGAATATCCACCAATAATGTTCCCTCTGTACCAGTGAGAATGAAACGTCTGTTTGGGTGTGGGAGTAGCCAGGATGAGAAGTTCATGATTTTATGTTGTGTTTTTTTTTTTTTTTAATCATTATTAAGTAGCAGAGCCTTGCTTGAATTCAAATATAGACATCTCGTGGGACTTGTTGGGTTGTGCAATTGTATTTTACAAACATTGGTGTACAGATATTTGTCGTTTTATATAGGTGAAATGCATTGTGTATATTTAATTGCTGAGGGGTCGGGAATCCCTTGTTATATCATTGCGTGTTACAGTTATGATTGTTGACTTTGATCGCAGTCTGGAAGTTGCATCTACTATTGTTTGGCCAAGCGTTTTTTTTTTTCTGCTAGTATTCAGACTGTCACATGTACTGTATATACTGTACAGGCATTCTTATTTGGCATATAAATTGCTTTATTATTAAATATTTTTGCTTTGGTGGCCTTTCTCCTTGTTATTTCTTTCCTGCAATTCTGATTCCGTATCCACTAAGCCACCACTGCCCCAAAAGTATTGGCAGCGGTGGGATTCGAACCCACGCCCCCGAAGAGACTGGAGCCTTAATCCAGCGCCTTAGACCGCTCGGCCACGCTACCTATATGTACATAATGTGTAGAGATATATGTACATATATATAAACATATATATATATAGACAGTATACATAAATATATAAAAAAATTTTACGTTTACTATGGAGTGTGGCTTTTTTATGGTGCAACTTTGTTTTGTAACATGATTACAGGGTAGTTAACTTCAGTTAGCCAATCAGGTGCAAAAAAAAAAAAAAAAAAAATTTGTTTCCCAAAAAGTCTGGCAACAAAGTGTGTGGAGGAGTCCTGCGTCTGTTGCACTATTTACTCTCACTATTCAATGTCACTAATGCAGACAAACGTCATCAGAAAAAGAAGAGAGAACGTTAAAAACATATTTTCACTTTATTGGAGTGCCATCCAAAAAATCTGGCAACAAAGTTCCTGCAAATGTCATAATCAGCATTTTAAAATGTCAACTCACCGCCTTCACCTGCTCTGAACCTGAAATCAGAGCAGGGAGGCGAGCGTCTGTGACTCAGGAGCCCACATTCATTCTTATTGTGCATTATATCTAAGGCAACATGGAGGACCAAGCGACCTTGTCTTCTGAAACCCAGCGGCTGGTGGTTGAGACTGTTGCCAGTATTTGCAGCAACAATAATTTCTTCACTTCCTTCACGACAGCTTGGTTAAAGGCAACATGTTACACTGAGTTTGAAACACACACACATACACACACACACATACACATTTGCAGACAAACACTGACCCACAATTATCACACCTCTGACACAGAGTTGGGGGTTCAACGCCCTGGTCCTCTGATCATCATATGGTGCTAACCTGAAGAAACCGTAAATCCTTCTTAGACCAATCCTGCTGTTCTTCCTTGAAATCGGTTTTAAGTTAGGGATGTCCGATAATATCGGCCGACTGATATCATTAACCGATAATATTGGCCCAATATTAGCATAAATGTCACATCGGCAAGAATCGTTATCGGTTAAGATCGAACATCCATTCAAACGCATTTTTTGACAACATATAACATATAAACTAAAGTAGAAAAATCAAAGTGCCCAAATTCCAGTGTCAAACACTAGACAGTTCATAGTTTCTATTCTATAATTTGGCAGCAGAACTGTTTACAATGAATCAGTTTGAAAGAAAAACAGAGCTTCTTAGAAATTCTCTTTTTGTTCTTGAGCTGAAATTTAAATAAAAAAAAACAAAAAACGCAGAAGACCTGCAACTTCATCTCACCTCAACAGACATATATCAGATGTACATCTACACATGCTGACCAATAGAAAAACTCTACTTTATACAGTACAGTGTGTACAGACGTGTGAGGAGCACGACTTGTACAGGGTCTTCAGAGACAGCTTTTTTTTTTTAAAGAATAAACCCAACACTTTGGGGAAGAAAAGGTAAAAAAAAAAAAGTAAATAAATAAAAAGATACCCAGCAGTACTTTAGCGTCAGACGCCATGGCCACAGATATTCTCCAGGATAAAAAACCACGACCGCGGTTTGGATGATGTGATTGGTGGCGCCACTCTTCAAATACCTCAACATAATATTCCAAAAATATTCATATTGTGCTGGTAAATAATCTTGGTAAAAATCGGTACCGAACGTAACGGGGAGCGTTCCCAAAGTGTTGGACTGCTCCTTTAACTGGTGTAAATCTATTCTTGTGGATCAACCTGAGCACTTGTTGTGTTTGTATGGCAGGAAACGGCTCCGCGGCGCGGCATCAGCTCGTCTCCACCTTCGTCTGTAGTCCTGCGGCGGCGCCCACCACCGGGACGTTGTAGTGGCGATCGTCCTCGGTGACGAGGCAGACCGACGGCCAGTCGCCCTTGTGGTCGTCGGGGTAGTAGGTGAGGAACTCCTCCGTGTCCACCTTGTACAGTCTGTAAACCTGAATGGTGCACTGCAGGGCGTAGCCCAACAGGAACATCTCCACCTGCACAGAACGAGAGGACAATTACGGAACGATCCGGGTGAAAACATCATCATCAACATCATCATCATCATCATCATCATCATCATCATCCTCAGAGTTCTCCCCTCTGCATGAAGTGAAACTCATGGAATCAGACAGAGTTCTCCCCTCTACATGAAGTGAAACTCATGGAATCAGACAAGCAGGAACATGTTCGTGTCGTGACTTCTGGGAAAGTGTTCCACATCTAATCTCAAGATATCTGTGATTGCAGTTTTGGTTTGTAAAAGCGAGGGGCGGGGCCTGACTTATGTTTCTTATTCTTTTTGTATGGTCAGCATAGATTGTTGCTGTAGTTTCTGTAGCAGGAAATAAATGGATGGTATTGTGTAAAAGAAGTCAAGTCCAAACAGACTTCAAGACCATAAAAGATTTTTTTTTTTAATGTAGTAAAAGTTCACCTTAGCGTCCATGTAGTTTATTACCAAACAACTGAACAAGTGGTTCAGTGAAAATAAAAATAAGGGTTCCCTCCTCTTACCTGCTCCAGGCCCGCGGTGCGGCCCACACGGCTGAGGTGGTTGGACAGGAAGGAGCGCGGGCAGTCGGACGTATCCCGCGCAAACAGGAGCCAGCAAAAGAGCGGGACGTCGCCACCTCCCTGCATGCAGCGGTGCAACTCCACCGCTCTGACCAGCATCAGCAGCTTTAGCGCCTCCAGCAGGCCCAGCTCTTCATCGCCACCCTGAAAGACTCGCTCGCAAAACTGCTGTCGTTCCACGGCGGAGGAACAGTCCACGGCCGCTCGCCACTGGAGCCGTCAAAGAAAATGAAAACAAAAAATGAAAACAGTAGTAATTCAGAACTGATAATCCACCAAGGCAGGACAACACGGTCCAAAAGTCACATCTTAATATGTTTCTACCCGTGAAATATTAACTAAAAATAGCAAAGCCTGGAATTCTAAATTATACAGGGATTATATTGTTGAAAATATATGTATATATTTGCAATTTAAAAGTAAGATTCAAACCATGTTAATGTCCAAAATTTAAAAACCCTGTGGCTTTAATATTTTGTATCCATGACATCGTAGCGATTGGGCCTCATTATTTTAGACGACTGTGGCTTAACATGAGCAGAAAACTGGACTGGAACTATTTTGGGAAATAGGAATAAATGGTTCTGGATGTTGTTGAAACAAAAGATGAAGTCACAGTTCTCAGAAAACTGAAGTTCAGACCGTGCTGTTGATGGAAGAATCCAGAAAAAGATTGTTTCAGATAAAAGTTTCCCTGAAGAGAGAAACATCTTCAACTTCAATTATTTATTTTTTTGGATTTTGGATTTTCACGTCCAGACTGGGTAGTTGAACTGGGAGTGTAGCCTCCACTAGGGGGCCCCGCAGACAGACTAAGGCCAACTTGGACATCCCCCAGAGGAAACCTGAGGGAGGGGGTCTGCTTATGGTTCACTTGTCACCTTATCAAGTGAACCGTTTAACGGTGCCAGTGTCAGACATGTGGTACTGTTTGGCAGAAGAACGCTCTCCTCTGAGTTTTATTTTCTCTGAGAAACAGAAAAAACTAAAACAATAGCCGATCTGTTAGCTAAACCCAAATGTTCAACTTAACTTTAATATTAATAATTTTAACTCTATTGATCCCATATCTGGGAGATTGTGGAATGTTATAATTTTAACTTTATTGATCCCATATCTGGGAGATTGTGGGCGACATGAGCGAGGAGAAACGAAGGCAACGGGTTGATGTTGCCATCGTTGATATCATATCAGCAGATACTCCGAGCTGCAGTATCGGTATCGGGAAATGAAAAAGCCATCCTTAATTTCTAGCGGCAGCTATCTTACCCCTGACTCTACTCTAGGTGGCGTCTGTAAAACATGAAATACTAACTCCTCCACGTCAGTGACAAGTGGAGTCAACAGAATGAACCTGAAGGAGGTTTGAGTCTGAAGTAAACAACTCCTTCTGGACAAACTGCCAACCGTAAATCCAGTCAAGACCTCGTGCTGTTCTACTACAGAGGAACTGTGGTTTCTACAGTTTAAAGGCTGCCTTTGAGGTTGAGGATCCGTCCAATCCCTAAGAGTTCTTTAAAAGCTGCGTTAATGACACGGGGGGAAAAAACAGCCATGAGTGATGGAGCTGTTAGTAAAAGTGCCTCCCTTCAACAGATGGTAGTAATCACATCCACCAGGCCTGTGGGTGGATGTCAGTGGGTGGATGTCAGTGGATGGATGTCAGTGAGTGGATGGATGTCAGTGCCCTGCTGCACAGGGGTGGCACAGAACTAGTGCTGTGGTTCCTTCTGAGGGAACGTTCTCCCTCGGAGGTTCTACCTTGTTTCTGAGCAGCTCCATGTAGTTCCTCAGCCGCTGGGTGACGTCTTCTGTCCCGTCTGCATGAAGACACTCCCCAGCAACCGTCCACCGTCCGATCAGATCGTCCTCCGCTTCGAGCTGTTTGAGCAGCTGTTAGCACAAACAAATACCAACGATGGAATGACGTCGAGATTACACACAGGTTTGGTTTATCGTTGATGTTAAAATCCAAGGACTTTTACTTCCTTGTTTACACAACAGTGTGAGAAAAGTCATAATCCTACATTTCCAGGTCTCACCATGTTAGGACTAAACCCATGACTGTTTATAGGAAGGATTACGTGAAACTTTTTTTTTTTCTTCCCCAAATCGACTTCAAAAGACGGCGCAGGGCCGAGTTTTGAGCCAAAGATCAACCCATTAAATTAGTTGTGACTTCACGTCCACAGGGCGGCTCCTGGAGGCAGTTAAATTTAACAGCACTGGTGGAAACACGTGCTTTTTCTGACTGGTCTGTTCTTTAACAGTGTTTCACACTGAGACTGTGTTCAGGTTTGTCCTGTTTACATTTGTTGAATCAGATTTAGATTGATTTGATATGGAGTTAGTTCTTATTGGTTGGACAAATTAGACCAGAAAAAAAAAAAAGCTCAAAAATCTTCACAACAAAACAAACAGGATTAGCCTCACTGTCCAAACCAGATGGCGCTGAAGAGGTGCTCCTGGTTGCACAAACATTCTGGTAACAAATGCTAACATTTTTTTTAAAATAGTAACTTGGAATTCAAGCGAAGCGGAGTAGTAAGACAGAACACACGTGTGTGTGAACCGTCCAGAAGAGTTGACGGGGCAGCGGTGGAGAATAAAGCGCGTTCCAAAAGTCGCGTTTTATTATTATAAAAGTAAGACCTGCGTTTTAATTGTGTTTTTTATTGAAGTGTTTATAGTGCAGTGGTGTTATTTTTCAGTGCCCTCTTGTGGCCATAGATGACACAGCATGTAGTTTTGATACATAACTTACCCAGGATAAGCCAGTGTATTAAACTAACTGCCACCTACAGTCAGTGGAAATGACTCCTGGGCTCTGACTGTGTGTATTTACCATGGCGCCACCGTCCTCCTCTCGGAGCCACACAGGCAGCTTGTTGCTGTGGGACAGGACCTGGAACAGCGTGGCCCTCAGTGCACAGTAGTTGTCCCCCCTCACTCTCCTCACACTCCCAAACCTGTGTGACATCTCTTTGTAACCCTGGAGCGGCGCGGCAGACGGAGTTAGTGGACATGAAGTGAAACAACAACTGTCTTCAATGTTGTGAACAGCTACAGACACCAACCTTCCTGATGAGAGCGCTCTTGGCAGTGTTTCCTTTCCACTCTCTCTCACTGTAGGACAGAATGTCCACGGCTGGGGCCAAACTGCATCTGTCCTCGACCTTTACAACTGAACAAAAGAGAGAGACGAGTCGGAGGACATGACGTCCAAGACAAAGCAGCCCTGTGTGGATCTTACATGACACAACAAAAACAAAAGTAGTTTTTGTTTCTCATCTCCCCCCCTTCATCCCCCCCAGGCCCCCCACGCAGGTCAAATAAAACCATGTGTGATCTCTGAGTACTGACGTGTGCTTTCCAGCAGGGGTCGTGGGGCTGGTTTGTCCTCTGAGAGTTCTTCAGCCGCTCTGTACAGATCTTCTTCACTGGAACGGAACAGAAGAGAACGCTGTTTGATCATCGGGAAGTTTGGGTCAAAATAAAGTCCCCAGGATTAAATTAAGTCCTGAATCCAGAGTGATTAGGTCAAAGTCAAGTGTGAGGCTGGACCCAAGTCATTTAAGACCTGTTCTGGTCATGTCCAGAGGTTTGAGTCCAAGTTAAAGTAACACACAAGTTTGTGATTAATTGAAGTAAATCAGAGAGAAAATATGAAGTATTTGAGTCTGTAAAATGATTCTACCTTAGAGTAGAAGTGTGTATTGGCAACACGATATGTATCACGATACAATATATTGCGATACTATAGGTACATTGATATAGTGAGTTTTTTTTAAACAATTTATCGATATAGTGAGTTTTTTTTAAACAATTTATTTGTAGGAAAACGGTCACTTGTAATCACTGGAGAAGAAATAAATCCAAAATAAAATGAGCCACTGCCATGAATATTTGACTGTTAATTATTAATAAAAAATATTGCGATATTTCAAAATATATCAATATTTCTTGTTAAAGCCCTAGCAGTGACTCAGTGAGTTTGAGTTGAACTTGTGGAGGATTCTGTTCTTTGAATTCTGGGTAAAAGTCGTTCAAAGTAAAAGTTCCAGTCGATTCAGGTTCAAGTCCCAGTTCAAGTCCGTGGGACTTGAACCATGGAAAAGAAAACAAGTCAATCGACTCTTCCAAATAAACACAAGGAACAAAAACGGACTTTGATTCTTATCGTACGAGGCAACACCGGTACAGGTCTGACCCAAGTCCAAGTCTCTGACTCCAGTCAATAACACGACAGTGAACCCACATCAGATTTGTTCACGTGAAGTTGGAGGTTAAACATTGACTGAACAAACCTGTTGTCCAGGTGAACTTTAGAAACCAGGGTTGTCTCTTCAGTGACAGTCTGCAGCTCCACCTTCAGGTCAGTGTCTGAACTGCTTTCTTCTCCCGTTGCCTCCTGAATCTCAGTTTCCTTCTGAATGGGTGTCAGGGCCTCAGAGACAGCGTTCACCACCACGACCTCTGCTCTCTGCACCTCCTCCTCCTCCTCCTCCTTCACACCGTCCTCCACCTTCTCAGGGACAACACCTTCAGCGTCTTCCACTTGTGGGACTGTTTTCCAGACATCTTCTGGTCGGAGGTTCTCAGAGGAGGTGAAGTCATTTGGTGAACACGCAGGCTCTGGTTCTGGTTTCTGATCGGGCTTTGACCTGCAGAGTGAAATAGTTTAGCAAACCTTAACGCCAAACATGTTGAGAAACTGTCCAAATATCATTAGAATGAGGCAAATTAGAACCAACAGAAAGTGTGTTTGTCATTAACTTCACTGAAGCCAACCTGTGGTCGTGCTACACCCCCAAGTGGTTAAACTGGGGTGGACAAAAATATACACAGTTTGAAAACATGTGTTTTGATGCCACTGAACTCACTGACCTCTTACTGCCATCTGCTGGATCTGTGCTCACTGACTCCCTGACAGAACTGGCAGTTTCTGGCTCCTCACAGCCGCGGTCACGTCGTGGACTCTGACCCCGTGCGGTGGGCTCTGGTCCAGGAGGTGATTCAGAAACATCGTGGCCTTTTACGTCTTCACCTCCGAATGAAAGACGGCCATTGTCTGAATCATGTGTCACAGCCCTGAACAAAGGATCATAGAAATGAGCCGGAAATAAATTCCTGAGCAGGAGAGTAAAGTCCGTGAATGTTATTTTTATAACAATGATGTCACGTTTTTGGACATAGAAAAGTCGAGATGGAAATTCTGGTGCAAAACAGTAGTGAAAGTTGCTTCTATATTTATCTTTTTTCTATATTTGGATTTAAATCATTTGTTTAACTTATTAGTAACACTTTTTTTCTTTGAGGAATGAATGAATATTTTTTTTCATATTTTGATTTTATTGCTGGTAATGTCTCTGTACGTTGTGGCCAAATATTGGATTGTTAATTATTATTTAATATCAAGTGTGCTCACGTTGGTAGCGTTCTTATTACAGTACATGTTTTCGGATGGAGGAATGAAAACACAGAATTAAAAATAAGTACTGTGACCTTTGTACAACAAACCAAAATAAAAAAGTTTATCAACTAAAAAAGGCCGACTCACCTGCTGGAGGCCTCTTGAATGTTAACCACGGGTTTGGAAACCACCTGACCAGCATCTGCTGCTGGATTAGAGTTTGGCATCGATAACACTTCCCCGTTTAGATTCCCTGATGACACAGTGCTAGCATTTACAGAAGTAGCTCCGCAGGCGACTTCTTCTTTTCCTTCATCTTCGTGAGAGGAGCTGGCTGCGATGTGGTCCGCTGCTGAGGTGGGCTCAGTTGGAGAAGGTTTCTCAGGGCTGGACCACTCTGCTGAAAAGACCTCGGGCGTTCTGTCCGTCACCGCGGCTGGATCAGCTTTTTCTGGCACAGTGTTGATTTCTGTGAAAACCTCCCAGAGACCTTGGGCTTTCTGAGGGGAGTCTAAAGTGCTCTGCAGAAGTTCAGCTTGGTCACGATGTTCTGGAGGTTCCTTCACGTCTTCGTCTGGTGCCGCTGCTGAGTCTCCCTGGGTTTTTAACTCCTGGCACAGAGAGGCGGCCGCAGACTGAATGCTTTCCTTCATCAGAGGTCCGTTCTCCTGAGTCTTACCGGACTCGGTCTCTTCGTTCTCAGGACTCAGCTTCACCTCATCTTCATCATCCTTCTGTTCAATCTCTACGGTGGCTTCATTTGGGGGCTTCGCCTGGATTTTCCTGAGCAGAAGAATTAAATAAGAAGAATGAGAAAAGCAAGAAGGAAAAGAAAAGAAAAGGAGGAGTAGGAAGAGGGGAAGTTAGGAGAGAGGGATAGAAGGTGAAGGAGAAAAATTAGAAAAAGAAAGAAAAAGAAGAGGAGGAATGAAAACTGGAGCAAAAAAAAAAGGGGGCAGTGGTGGCTTAAATGAAGAAGAGGAGGAATGAAAAATGGAGCAAAAGAAAAAATGGGGCAGTGGTGGCTTAGTGGTTAAGGAAGCAGGCTTGTGTCCGTATGGTTTCATGTTCGAGTCCACCAGTTGAAAAGTCACTTTGGTGATGGGTTAAAAGTAGATAAAACATTATTTTTGAATGAGAAGTGGAAGTGAAGGAGATGCTGAGGGAGAAGATTTCCATTTTTCTTCATTAAATAAATAAAATAAAATAAACCACTGACAACAAGGAGTGAGTGTGTATGTGTGTGTCACCTTATGTCATCATCTTCAGGGCTACACGTTCCCTCCACAGTGGTTTCATCCACAGGCCCCGTGGCCTTGGCGTCGTTGTTCAGTAACACACATCTTTCCTCCACGCTGCCACAGGGACTCTCGGTGCGACAACAGTTCCCCATCTGTTTTCTCCCTTCGGTTCAGGAAGTCAGACAGCGTGTCCGTCCAGTATTGACCTCTGATCCAAAAACTACGCCACGCGAGGTTTCAGGAGTCCATGTCGAACCCGGCCGAGGTGCTGCTAAAGCCACGAGGATCGGTACCTAGAGGAAGAACGTGCACACGGACTTCATGACACCTTAAAAAAAAAAAAACGTACACTTCCTAAGAGTGTCTTCGTGAATAAATCCCCCTGAACTATGTTCCACCTACTGTTTCATTTTCAGGACTAAATGACTCACGAATGCTTCAGGTTAACATTTCCCCTTGTTGAAAAAGAAAAAGAGCAGTGATTAATCTAATCTTCATGGTTCTCTTTACTGGAAACCTGCAGAATTTACTAAACATTTAATGAAAACAATATAATAAGTAAAAGATTGTACTGACACTTAACCACTGCTCATCTCTTATTAGTAGTTTTTTAAAAAAAATAAATATACGTGGATCTTAACTAACCAACAGTACAGTCATAACCTGTAAACCTGATAACTTAGAAAAGATACATTATTTTAACCTTTAAAACACCTGCCATGTCAACACACCGTTTTGTGCTTGTCTAAATCGGCAACACCTTAAATAAACACAAAAAAGGAAGCAGATATTTCCATGTTCAGTGTAATGATGCGTTAGACTAAACCGTTCAAAATGCTCCGTTAATGTTATCTGACCCAGGAAGTGTAACGGTAATAAACAATAAATTTTTTTTTAAAAACATACATCGAATGCGAGTCAAGCGATGTTAAATTATTATTTTTGTTTTGGGAAAGTAACAGAATACAACCTAAAATAACATGTTTCAATTTTTATGTCCTTCCATAAACATGTTTAAGTAGAAACGTCTTTTTTTTAAATCAAATATGGCTCGAACTCTGACAAATAAAGTAAAAATATTTACCGCGTCGACAAGCTGTCAAATCACGGTTACACCCCCCAGTTAGTAAACAGATTTTTTTTGTACAGATTTCTACTGATTATTTTAGCAAAAAACCCGAAAAAAACATACCTTCGTGAATTGTTTACCAGGAGACTCAGCCCAACGTGTGTCACTCATTAATGCGCTGCTCTTCTTTCACTTTTACTTTTCTGGAGAAATACGCTGGAACTTAGCCGTTAGCATCGCGGCTAGCTGCGCTGTTCAACTTCAACACAAAACGTGCGCTGTTTCACTGACCGACGCTCGCGAAAAGCACCGCGGCCGCTGCCGTTACCCGTGCACCGTCACTGCGTCATGGCCGTTCACTGCGGCACATGTCGATAAAATGCGGACGTTCTCTGCAGAACACCCGCTGCCGCGAAACCTTTAGCTTTAGCTTTTAGCCAGAGCAGCGGGGTCACGGCTCTGTCCGAGTGCATGACGTCACCCTCGTGTGCGCCCGTGAGTGGAGCGCCGTTTCAATACAACTCTGAAAATAGCACGCAGATGCGGAATGTTTATTGATTCGATTTGGGAAGTTAAAATCCAGAAAATCCAGAACATAAAAATGTACCACACTAGTTTGACAGATGCTCAAAAATAATATTTGAACCAATAAAAATCCAGTTTATTATTTAGACCCAATAATTTCACATCTGTTCATACGTAAACACCATAAAATCAATGTCTTAAACCAGTGTTTGTGTGCATAATGAATTAGTGTAACAATATTTTTCTCTTCAAATTACATTACAATTACACACATCACTCAGACTTGACAAAAATAGAACCTTACGTTGTTTTCTATTATTTAAAAGGCAATTTTAAAATTGAAACTGTCTCAACCAAAATGGTGAGAAAATAAAAAGTCTATTTTTATTTTTATTTTACAGTACATAACTGTGGTGTTAAAAGAAAGTTCACACTGTCCACTTCAGTATGAATTTAGACCGATTTTTCTGACGTTTGGCTTCAAGTTTATGAAGGTATTTATATCTAAAATCTGTGGGAGTATTTAAATGTTCTTGAGTTCTTCTATGTGACTGACCAGGTCCTGCGGTAGTCCGAGCTCTACTACAACATCTGAACAGCGCTGCAGGAGAACATTCAGATCTTCATTTGAGAGAGAAGACGACTCAGCGGGTTGTGAACAGAGTTTCTGTGGCCGCTGACACGTGTCCAGGTCCACGGTTTGTCCCGTCTTACAGCAGTCCGTCTTTTCACATCCCTCTTCGTGGCAGCTCTGAGCGGCCTGCTCCACATCCAGATCCTCCATGCTTTCTGAAACATCACTCACAGTAGGGAGAGGCCGCTCCATTGACCGCCTGATGCCTTCGGTGACTCTTTCTTCGTGCTTTGAAATCCACTGCAAAAGTTCTGTCACGTGGACTGGAACAGGTTTTTTCGGATTCTCAATTTGGCACCAGCACGAAATGGCACTGGAAGGAAGTTAAAGATTAAAGACAGTTAAAGACAAAAAAAAAAGAAAAAAGAAGAAGACTGGGTTAGAATGCTGACATTAAAACTGAAACAAATTTGAAACAAAAAATAAAATTATGTGAATGAGTCAATCAAGGTTTTTTTGTGGCATTTTAATTTGCATTTTTTAAATATTTTTCGCAGCCTCTCACGTATGGAGATACATTTTTATTCTTTACTGTTGCAATATATACCAGTGTTTACCTAACAATGCCTTTGAGGCGGCCCACAGCCACAGTCTTAGCTGCTCCTTCCCTGAATCCCTGGTTAAACCCGAGCTGAAGGGAAGACTCCTCTCCAGCATCGACTCCATCCACATAACCACCCTGTCCACAACAACAACAACAACAACAACAGTACAAGTAGAACAGTATCATTATCCGTGGCACCGACACCAATAATAAAATAAAAACGATTTAAATGATGTCCAGAAACGTAAGTAATAATTAATTATTATATAATTATATGTGGAGTAATTATATTTTAAGTGGAGGCAGAGACATTAGGCAGCGTTTGTTCTACCTTGATTCTCTTCTTTATCATGATGTTCCACTCTTTACTCTGGAGTTTGAGCTCGTCCGCCTGCTCGTCAAACACGTCGTCACTGCTCTGCGACACCATCTTAATCCACGACATATTTAAAAAAAAAAAATCTAAATAAAACCCTATAAAACTATACAGAAGTGATGTTATCAGTGCGGAGTTAGCTAAACACTGTACAGACCACCTCGTACTGATCATGCTGCTGCTGCTTCTTACTCTTCTCTGAGTTTAACCGTCAGCTGTTATCTGCGGTGGGACGTTACTGCCACTTACTGGTGGGAATTATAATGACATCTATTTCTTAATATTCCGTTTAATGGTCCAGTTCTTTTCAAACGTCGAACATAGATTAGTTTACTTATTGTTCTCTAGTTTTGATTACATGCTTGAACCTATTAGGATTATTTGTTTACCTGACTCACTGACGTCATCAGGAGGCGCCGGAAAATGTATTCTCTCTAAATAGTGAAATAACAAACAACTAAATTGAAAAAAAAAAAACCAAAATAAATAATAGAAGTTATGATTAGACCCGTTTTCATCGTTCTCAGTTGATTTTCTTTTTAATGTGTATAGCAACATAAAGACCAGCAGGGGGAGCTAAAGCCGTACAGTTAAATAACTACAGGCCTACAATGCTTTAAGCTACTTAATAGAGATCGCTCCCATTTCAGATTTTCATAATATTTTGGTTCCACTATTTCAAACACAAATAAAAATAAAACCACATCCAGATACATTTAATCATTGGATCTCAATTTATGTGCGTTTTTTAATTAATTTAATTAGATGTCAGAGTATTTACATTTTAATAATCAAATTTTGTCTGAATAAAAATGTAAATGTGTGTGAATTTAGTTTCTTAACAAATCATGTTAAATCAAAGAGTGTGAATCTCTATGAAAAATCAAATTTAAAGGCTGTAAATGAAGACATGTCAACACGTCAGAACATATTGATTGTGTTTTTATTTCCTCTACTATAAAAAGACTTGATTAAAAAACATGTCAGGTTCAGCGTTTGGTGCCGAGTTTTGAAGTTTTCAAACCAAACAACGACACAGGATCCACATCTCACTCTTCTGTTCCCTCTGTGGCGAGGACAGAGGGGGAGGCTGGGGGGTGAGGTNAGATTTTCTCATTTCTGATTCTGAACAGACACCAGAGAGAAAGAAACAAGAGCTCAGACCAAATGCACTTCACCTCAGTGGAACGCATTAGCAGCTGCTGGACAACAACGGCCCTGAGGACACTCTGAGGCCACGGCGGACCGGTCTCAGTCAGGCCTCACTCACAGCAGCCACACCTTCACCCCCCCCCCCCCCCCCCCCCCCCCCCCCCACCCACCCAAAAAACAACCACACAAACAAAAACCACCACCCTCTA